AAAAAAAAAAAAAAAAAAAAAAAAAAAAAAAAAAAAAAAAAAAAAAAAAAAAGCTCGCGCTACGGACAAAGTGTTGGAATCATGTTTTCGAGTTATTCGAAAACCACGTCACGTGGTGCCAGTTGCTGAGAAAATTATTTTGTTGTGCAAAACTATAACCACGAGAAAAAATATCGAAATCGCGTCTTGAAGACTCAGCGTTTTGAGGAATAATCATCTCTTATACGTGTTTTTCTCGCGAAAAATTGCTCCGACCGCAAGGAGTCGTTGAGAAAAAGTGACGAAAATATACTGTGGCCATTGAAATCACTACGAAACGCTCCACGACGTGATATCGAAATCATCGCTGTACGTGCAATTTGTTCGAGTGTAGATTATTTTCCCCTTTTCCGTACGAGTAAACTTTTTCATCTTTTCCCCCCTATCTCCTCCTCCATGCAGTATCGCATCTCCAGAACAAGTCCACCACATGGACGAAAAAAGGAAGGAAAGAAAAAGGGGGCGAATAAGTGCAAGAAAGGACGAGACAAAGGGAAGAAGCTCACCGGGTCCTCGAGTAGCCGATTTCCTGCGAAAGAAAAGTTCCAAGTGCGCCCACTAGACGATACACGTATACGTGTGTGGCTCTGTATCCAAGTTCTCCAGAAAACAACCCTCCACCTATCCCTAAGAAGCGAAAAGCACTGTTCGCGTCCATCTGCGTCAATTTCGCGCTCAAGGGTGTTCTCGTTTGTCTCGTACAATACGTATACGTGTGTGTGGGCGAGAGTCCTCCAATTTTTTTTTCCTTTTTATCTCGACTCATTTGTTGCCTAAATTCACGCTATAGGAACTAAAACTTTTTTGGCTGCTTTAGGCTTTCTGATGAATAAAATTAAAACTAAAATTAAAGTATAAATTTCAAGTGACACCCTTGGCCCGTGATTTCGAGCGAATCAATCACGATTTCCCGAGAAGTGTAAGTCGAAAGATTACAACAAAAAAAAGTTAAGTTAATCAATCGCGAATATTTTTAAACCGCGAAATGCGTGCTCTCGAAGCGTCACAATCGCCCTACGTCCGTCCTTTCGAAATCCATGAATTGAAGAATAACAACAACAACACTGCCATCCGTCAATTACGCCTCGTTAAAATTCACGATAATACCGTACAATGCATGTGTAATTCACCGCAACGTGCAAAAGCTCGGGTTGATTAAACGATATGCGCATGTGTGTACGGGCACACGAGCAACGAGACCAAAGTTGCAATCAGCCCCTAATCTATTCATACCGACAGATTAAGTTCGAGCCCAAGAGAATGGACCGTACGAGAAGTTACCCCCGGGAGTTTTCGAGAGGCTTCGAGGAGATAGCGGCAAAGCGGTGGCGCTACCGGATGGAGGTCATGTGGGTGGCACGTCTTGAAGGTGGTAGGGTCTGGAATAATAGGTTGGAAAGGGGGATGCGAGGGGACCGAGGTAGAAATATGGAGTGTAGTGGTGGTTGGCTTGTCTGCACCGTCTGTCGCTCGAGTGATAAATAAGTGTCGAGTGTCCGTGCGCGGGGGGGACTGGTCCCTGGTTCACAGCATTTGTTCTGTCGTTGCTGCTGCTGCCAATCCCACGATCACTTGCCGTAAGAACCGCTCGGAGGTAAGTATTGATTGTTGCTGCCGACGAATCCGTCGTTTGGGCCTCCACTGTTGTAACCAGCGTTGCTGCCGCCTCCTACTCGACCTGTCGACCCAAGCATTATTATTATTATTATTTTTTTTTTTTTTCATTTGAGACAAGAACATTATAACTACAAAGTACAGCTAAAAGAGGAGCTTTTAATAAATATTTCAAGTTACGTTAAGGTTACTTTGACAAGTACTTTGATGGCCCGAGTTGAAATTTTTAATTTACCAAGCTTCGGTCGATTTTTTTTTTTTTTTCATCGAAAATGCCTTGTGCTGAAAAAAAATTGTGAATTTAATTTTTTCAAGTTTGATGCGTTTCTTTGATTCCTTTCAAGTTGGAAAGATGTCTGGAGTGTATGGTTTCCAGTACATCGTTTTGCCACAGCTTCATCCACAATATTAAATTGCCAGTGTGTTATTGCCCCTTGATAATACATTATATTACCACGATGCGATATAATTAATGCACACAAATTATATCAACAATACACCATATAATCAGTGGGGATGGAAATAATTAGCCATGAAGCGCCAAAGTTACCTTATGGACCTTCACATGGATTGACTGAATGGTTCTCAGCAACATAGTGACTAATTGGATGAGGGGAATATTTTTTTGTAAGAAGACGAGTATTATAAATTAGGTGGAGAACCATAAATAGGTTACATTGGAGTCAGCGTTTCATTTCATGTAGCTGCATTGCATTGAAAAAATTGTTGTAATTTTCACGTTTTTGGATTTAAAAAGTAATCTGAAACGTCAGCGTGTTTTATCACCTGGAAAACAAGGTGTCGGATCATTCCGTCATTTTGAAAGCTTTTTCACCCTTAAATTGAAAGATACGAAGGTCCACACAGACGTATGAAAAACTTATTGGAGGAAGAAATGATTCTTCGTAATTTTTTAAATCTTTTGGTTTTAAATCTCATGGTGCTAGAATTTAACAAAATGCATAAGATTTTTCTCTCTGCTTTTGGAATGGAAAGATTCACGAAACTATACGAGATTCGGAGAAAAACAGCCGAACACAATTGCAATCGAAGGAGCCAAAGGAAATTGTCTTTGTACTGTAAGGGGTAGGTGTTCGAAAAAAAAAAAAAAAAAAAAAAAAAAAAAAAAAAAATCATCCGAGTACGGAATACACGCGGCTTGGCCAAGAACCCTCGCACTTACCCTGCTGCTGCTGGAATCCACCTAGTTGGCCAGCAAAACCACCAGGGCCTCCGGATCTCGGGAACTGAGCCTCACCCTCGTAGTGGATATCTGCCACGTAGCCATTCGCATCGTCGGCCATGTATCTAACGATCTGGGTACGGGTGTCTGGCAGCAGGACGCGGTACTCTCCTTGCACCGAGCCCAACTCGTCGCCCATCTCCCTCTGGCCGTAGTCATTGCCCGAGGCGGCGTCCTTCACCTCGTACTCGAAACTGTAGGGCCGCGACTGAAACGCATTATTTCATTTACACTTTTTTATTTATTTACCTTTTTTTTTTCCATCCCATTTTGCACCCTTAAAACGCATCGAGGGGGTAGAATTAACAACAATGGCTCGTTGGTGCGCGAAAAATCGTACGAGCCCATGGAAAACGGGAGCGTCTACAGGTCCATCAGGGAATTATTGCCAAGCTCTGAAAATTCGCGAGTGCTTGATTGAAAAAACCCCTGTCGGAGGCACACCCCCCGTGCAAAGCGGGAGAGCTCGTTGTCTAGCGATTTTAGGAATAATTGATAATACAGACCACCGGCTGGGGGGGGGGGAGGACAATGGACGCACGATTATCACGCGAGGATATGAATTTGCGAATGTCACTGGTGATGGATTGCGCGGCGGAAGAGGGTTGGGGGTGGGTTACTGACTTTTGTTAGTTGACGTAGAGAGAGAATGGCGGTGGTGATAATTGAGCCCTCTGGCTATACCTGCTGTTTGTCGATAAACGAAAACCGCCGTTGTCACAACTTTTAACAAGCCGACGCTAGCTGCACCATTACAAAAGCGAAAGGAGGGGAGGTGGGACTTTTTTTTTTTTTTTTCTTTCTCTTTTTCGTTTCTTTTCGGGTTTTCACGAATTGCAGTCGAAAGAGGGTGGGGGTGAGGCAGGTCTCAAGCGTATATACACTCACAATGTGGACCATTGTCTCTTGTGGGCGGATAAACATTTGCTCGATGAAAATCGGATTTCGCGCGTGATAATAAGCACACCCCGCATTATACACCCGTACGGTGCAGCGGGTTATTATCAGTAAACTTTCACGGCGAGACGTTGTTTGCTCGGGTCGACGCCTATGCGCCTGTCTGCTTATTTTTCCTTTTTTTTACACATATCTTTGTTTAAATGGGCGTATTATTTTTTTTTTTTTTCTTTATGTAAAGTTTCAAGAATAAGTCGAATAAATCGAGCGTTGGTTGAATCAAAATACGCGAACCGACTTCAAAGTAAAGTTATCTCTGGGCTTTTTTTACCTCGTCCGCGAAGTCGATCTGCAACACTTCTCACGTGCTTCAACGCGACTCGAAGCTCTTTCCACCAACTTCGTCTTTTCCTCTAAATATATAATATATATTATATACCTTTGCGCAATCCCACGTTAGTTTGCAAAGTAGTCAGGGAAGCTTGTGTGTAACCTGCAGACACGTGTCAAAGTTACATTACGCGCGAAATCGGCTTTAGGGGCCTCAGAGCTGCACCGAGATACAGGGAGTCGGAAAAAAGGGGGAGATACGTTACGTACTCATAACATGTGGTGTTGTTGAAGAGGGGGAAAAAAAAAATAAATAAATAAACATGAAAAAGCACAATCGTGGGAAAATGTTTTTCATGGATAGCAGTCGTTGATAGCTGAAGAGCGCAATTTATGCCTTTGAGGTCAAAAGTATAAGTCACATCAAAGGGTTTGCGGGCGCTCATATATATATACACATATAAGTATAATGATGTATAACGTCAGTTGGTATGTGCCCTAGCAGTCACTTTTCGTATGCGTGGGCGTTACTACAGTGGAGGGTGAGTCGGTCTGACGTGTGCACCATAGCGTTATCTTTGAGGCGAACTGCAAGCAAAGACACGTAAGATAAAGCTATCCCCGAGTTTTCATCATGAGCTCTCTCTGTGGTGTATCTGTGACACAACGCATGGCCGTTTTAATTAACGCAGTAACAGTAAAAAGATGAACTGGATTTTTTTTCTCCTTCCCTTTTCATTCTGTAAACGTGCCTTTTCATTTACCTAGATTTTTTTGGTCGTTGGATATAGTTCATAAAAAAGTCAGTGCCGAAAGGTATTACGGAAAACCATCGAGTTGAAAAACATTTGCCTTACGCATCAGAAATAAAAAAAAAAAAAAAAGTGTTTATATCTTGCTCAAAAGTCATTAAAATTTTCCTCCGCACCGTAATCATCCAACAGTTTGAATGTATCACCTAAATATCTTTGAACAATCAAATGAAGCTATTACGATGATCAGGTATAAGGAAATTATTTTTTTGTATTATTTATCGGTAAATTAATTTGTTTTATCCAGCTAGGAAAAGAATCGGGCTGAAACGTATTCAGCTAATTGTTGGGGTCGTAAGAAATTAAAAAAAGAGAGAGAAAACTTTTTTTGTATAGTGATCCACATACGTTAAAACTTTTTAATTTGCATCATCGAAAGTTTCATACGTATATACGAATGTACATCATGAAAAGCCCCCGAATTGGACAGCCGACTTGTATATATATATATACTCTTGCACCAAAGCAAAGTCGATACGAAGAATGCGGAGCGGCATAGGCAGAGGTAAGAGAGATTGGATCTACTCTACGATGGCCCAGTTTGGCCGTCGTTTAGGTAACGATTTAGCAAAGCCATATAGTGTTTACAGCGCACGTGAGCCTCGGTAAGTATACGCATAAACGTACGGGGCAAAGTGAGCAAGGCGCAGAGCTTGAACGGGGAGCGATAGGAGCAAGGATGTCTGATGTATACATGTATAACGACCCGAAAAGGAGCTACGGCGGCGAGGGTGTGTAATAGGTAGGGTGGCGGACGATCGAGCCAGAGGGGCTGTAAAGAGGAGGCGGACACGGAAGTTGTTAATCTTCGAGTGGCCGCTGCTAGTCTCGCGGCTTCCCGCCTCGTGTTATCTTTTTTTTGACGGTGTACAACCTCACGCACCCCGTTGCAGAGAAACAGCTATGTCGATCCATCTTTTTTACTTGTTATTTTCCTTGATTTACCTACTCGTTACCGTCGTCATTGGCAAATCTTTTTTTTCCACCTTATCGTCGAAATAATAAATATACGTGTACTCTATAGGAATCACGTCAATATACAGCGCGTTCACATGCAAATATGTCTGACAAATATTTGTGCACCTCGACGTTACCCGACACCGCCACCAAAACCGAGACCGTCGAGTAAACAGTCGATGGAGTTTGCGCATAAATTTGTATCGCGTGCAGTGCTTTAAGTGTGGGCAATTACGTACGTAGAGAGATTGGAGTCCATGACGATCTCATTAATTAGGGCAAAAAAAAAGTGCTTATGCTTCGCGTACTTGCGCTCAGCGAAAAATTGTGCGACACTCGAGATCAGGAGCGTTCGTGGTTAATAATGAATTTTCGATAAATCTCGAAAAACCAGCAGATCGTAAGTTACACAAAAATCCGTAAGACACGATGGTTATAATGTGATAATTACATTTTTTAACATTTGAACTGATGAAAGGTCTATAAAATCATAACCAAATATGTATTATTCATCGGTTTCTTAAGAGCACTGACAAGAAAAAAGTTTAGCAATTATTTAAAGGAATTCCCTGGTTTTCCGTTAAAATAGAATGATTATTTTAATACAGTCGTATCGATCATGGACAATAGTTGAGATGTACTTTATTATGAGAATTGGTTACTGGAATGATATTTTATTCTTATTAAATTTGTATAAAATTTTAGTCCGTAAGTACGAATACATAACCGAGACGCTTATTTCTTTTTTTTCTCACGGGCTCATCTACATCTACTCAATTTCTTAAATTCGAGTAGATTAAAGCGTGTCTGATGAACGTTCCTTTTTGTAACCCCAAACAGAAAGAAAGAAAAAAAAACAAAAAAAAAAAAAAAACTCACCCTGCCAGCTCCGTTGGCACCTGGAGAACCACCTCCCATGAATTCTCGACCACTGCCCTGGAAGCCTTGACTGAATCCAGGCCCTCCGCTAGATCCTCCCACACCAGAGCCGGGCGCTCCGTATGTGCCCGAGGGTGGCCCATAGACCGGCCTCCCGGTTCCCGCTCGTTCGCCAAAATCGCTTCCAAAGCTCGGTCTGTTGTACTGATAGCCTTGGGCTTCCGCCGTAAACCTCTTTGTCAACGTTGTCGTAGTTATCGTCACCAGCACGACGACCAATAAATTTCCACACTGCAAACGACACGGCCAGAAGGTCATGTGGGTACACAGAGATAAGTAGATAGTACAAATATAGGCATGTATTTGTGCATCGAGATGCGTTTTTAGGGCCAAGACTCGAGCATCTTGGTCGGTATATTTATGCCACGTGTTAAGTATCTACGCTATCATCTATTACATCCGATACATATTTTTTTTTTTTAATTTTGTTGGGGTGTAAAAAAACGTTTACAAGAGATGTTTTACGTCAAACGCAAGAATTACAGGGCAGCGAACACGTACACGTTGGAAATACACCCGAAGTTGATATAAAATGCATGAAAACTAAAATATATTGATTACTGTAAAGTAACAGAATGAACAGCAGTGACAATAATGACGATGCGTATCAGTGGTGAAAAGGTACAAGGTATGGACGCCGAAAACCGAGACCGGTTGAACGTCTCATCCCACACGCCTCGAGTACGAGGTATATGATTCGACGCAGTCGATAGTGCTCACCTGATCCCGGCCCATATTGCGTGTTTGTGCGTGTTTTGCTCTGCGTGATCTAACGGAGAAGAGTCCGGGCGAACTGAGGATACGATTCTCCGATGAAGCTTATATATACCCCTCCGGTGATTCTTTGTCACATTGTATCGATGACGCACTCGCCCAATTTCCCTATTCGTCCCTTCTAACGCTGCCAACGAGGGACGGTGGGAGGGAGATCGGTCGCGATTTGGCACGCGCCCGACGATGGCCTCCTTTTCTACTCCTAACCGTTATCGTCCTCGCCGCTTGTCTCGGTGCATCCTATTCCCGTGCGCGTGCGAACACTCGGTGGGCTTACCTGTTCCCCGAATTCGTCGTGCTTGCATTGCGCGACACTCACGCGATGTACGGGTCGGAGCGAATTCCATTGGAATCGCAGGACGACGATGCTTATCGATTTCGCTCGATGGTGACGTAACCTGCCGAAATCCTCAAACTTTTTACTTGGCTGATTGGCTTTGGATCCCTAAGGAAAATCTTTGTTTTGTCGTGTGCTTTTTGGCTGAAAACCCTTTTTCTATAAAAAACTTGGCCTGTAACGAATGGGTACGTTTTTTGGTTTTTGCATTGGAGGTATAGGTATACATACATATATAGATTTTTGTTTTTCGTCACCTTTACCATCCATCCGTTCACTTGTGGGGACCAAAAAACATGCTGTCGCAACCAACTCTTAACCCTCACAAAGAAATATCTACGTAAATCATCGCACTTTTGAACCGTACCCCCCTCCCCATTGGCCTGGTGATGTAACAACTCATTATCGAAGCAGTGCTCACCCTTTACTACTCGCGAGAAGAGGAGCGACAAAAAAAAAACAAAAAAAAAAAAAAACCGATGATCGGTCGATAATCGGAGCATCAAAGTATAATCGAATGTACACTTAATTAAGTCAATATTAGTCTTGCGAACAAATTTAATATAAGTATACCAGGTACCCCTTGTAATTCGCATTGAGGCTCGATTTAGCCACCTCGCTAATTTACCACCAGTCATGCCAGATAACGTATAACCCATCACTTTATTTTCAGCTGGTTCCTCTATGTTATTCAATTCTATTCTTTGAGTCGACGACTCGAGACGGATGACGGATCGAGTCGAGAAGGGTATTCTGGGACAGATACACGGCTGTAGAAGGGTTGAAGAGCTAATGCCGTTTTCCCCGATCGATCGATTACACGATTGTGTCGTGGTATAAATATGTGTATGTATATTGTATTCAAGCGCAGTCAGACGATAAGGGGTTCTCACCTCTAGCTAAATATATTTTGCTGTGAGTGAAGTATTTGCTTCAAATGTAATCATCCAGACTCTATGCTGTATACGTATACTGTATAGGTGTGTAGCCTCGTGTTATAAGTGGAAACTTATGAATAGCACATGACCAAGATTACAGTTTCAATACGTAAACCGCAATTGGTATTTGACTTGCTTGTAATCGTTGAGAGTATTTATTTATTTATTTATA